TCGTGGAATTCTGATTTGTTCGAGAGGACGTCTATATCGTATGCCCCAAATAAGCAAAAATGTTCAGTAGTTTCATATCCTCGAACGACCGCCATTATACCATGTGTTTTTATCAGCTGGAGCGATATTGTCTCAATCGATGTGAGGTCTTGGGAAAATCGCCGAGCTCTTGTTAAAAACCTGCAGTCTAACATGCAAAAAATAATCACGTCAACCACCCCGAACATCAACTGCTTGCACACAAGTATGCAGGAGGGAGGAATACAATCGGTCTTGGGCTAGAATTGTCCTTATACAACTCTACCACGACTCCCTCCCATCAAAGGAGATATTGACGCACGTAGTCCTCGATGACCAGTTTACAGATGTCTTTATTAACGAATCCCTCTTTAAGGATCTTCAAGTCTAACCATTTTGATAATTTATAGTTGTACGTGCCAACGACAGACAGGATGGGGCGCATAGATAACTGTGGCTTATAAGTCTTTGGTAAACCGTAGACATGTGCAAGTTGAACCGTTGGATATCTGTTTCTGTTTCTTCACCTGGAAGGATCTTTTTCACTAACATGTTAAGTTCTTTCTCTTTCTCAAGCAGGGGATGGTAATTCTCGGTAAGTCTTCCTCTTCTTTTAGGCTGTTCAAGACTGACTAGTTGTGTTGTCAACGAAAGCTTCTTTGAGTAACAAAAGGTTGTCGTCTACCGGACTTCGTAGCACGCGACCAACCCGGACAGGTTTCTGGGTAAAAACCAATGAACTGGCAAATTAGGCGTAACAACACCTTCTAGTGTAGCATGTGTAGTGTCAATTTGTTTCATCTTTTATTTTATTTTTTTTAAGATCTCGAAGACAAACAATGCAATGAGCGTGGTAAAAAATCCCTGCCATGATGGAAAACAATGTGAGATACAAAAATCAACATCACATGCATGCGTTATTAAATTCCCGTAATTTGTTAATTTTTGTCACGCATTATGTGTCAGTTCTTCCAATCACAAAGGTGTTCAAATCTCTAATTTGCCAGTTCATTGACTTTTACCCAGAAACCAGTTCGGGCTAGCCGCGTTTCGTGAAACCAGGTCGACGGCAACCTTTAATCAATCGACTATATACATATCTCTATCCATTATCACCACACCCGACCCTTTGTCTGGTTTTGTTACAATGATATCTTCTCGTTTCTTACGCGGCTGACTGCTCGAAGAAGTGCTTTAGGTGGAGTCTTGCTTTTATGTTTGATATAGTTGAGAGCTATTGATTTCAACGTTTTTGATTAAGACTCTAACCCCTCTTTCCAGCTGTGACTCAATTCTACGGTACAACTGTTCAATAGCTGCTTTAACTTCAAGTGAATTAATGTCTTGTTTAAGTGAAAACATAGTTAATAGAGGGAGAATCTTCCTCTATTACCTATGGTGAAAATGGAAGACCACGCGATAAAACCAGTTTCTCAAAGAAGGATAATTTGTATGAAGACAAGTTCGTAATGTGTTCGTCGATGTCCTCAGTTTTGACAACATACGTGCGATCTTCTTAGTGTTTCTTCTTTAAGTTAAGCTTCTTTAAGTGTTTCTTGCAGAGGATGTTGATGCTCTTTAGGATAAGAGCATAACGAAGAGTAGTGCATAGTTGACGTATTGCAGACCATTTGGATGCTGATTCTCTCTTCAACCCGATAAGCAGATCGGTTTTCTTCGTTGATTACATTTTCCTCGTAGGCTTTAGTCGACGATTTCCATTGGCTTGCCTCTAGCGAATGTCGGTGTAATCCCGAAGTTTTGACACAATTTCAAATACTTAATCGAACACCTACAATTCAAAAATTTCTTGCTGCAATGCTCTAGATCTCTGAACAAATGCAGTTTTTGGTCGTCTTTTAAAATTCATATAACATGTTTGTTCTGAGTAGTTTTTACTATAAAATTTATTACGACGAGAAGACTAGACGTTTCGGTGCCATCAGGCGCCCTTTTCAAGAGTAAAGTAATTGTGACAAGAATCGAGACAAGAACAGACTTACTAAGCTTCATTTTTTGGTATAGGAAATTTTCAAAATTTTGAACGAATGGAATCTGATTGTGCTTAAAGATGGCTTGAGATCTTTAATAATGCACAAGTCAATTGAAACCCCCGACCCCGACCCCCAGGGCTAGCGGGGCACTGAACGGGGACGTGACGCGTTTTTAACGTGCTTTTAACAGCAAGAGATTGCCCCGGGGGTTCAGGATTTTTGATGAATCGTTTCGAAGCGGGACAAAAAGCGGGGATTTTACTCAGGCTAGGATTTTACATTCATTTGAACATGTATGAGTCTGGAAACTAGAGGCCGTCGATCTTGAAAAATACACCAAAAGCATTGGTATTCAAGCCAGCTGTTTTGCATTTGTTTATTTTTCCTTGCATGAAAAGTTAAAAGAAACTTATTGCACATGTTTTTCTCCGACCAGTTAGCCTCATGTAGTACGCAAATGAGTACACAGGATTATACAGAAATCAACCCCGTGTATCACAGAAAAATTTGAGTTGGATTGAAAGGTGTTTGTTTTGTTATTTACTAATACTAGTCTAAAATAGCTGGGCCACAGTAGCGGGAGTTTTAACAGTGAATGTGCCCCGACTACCGGGGGAAATGTCTTATTTTAACACCACTCGGGCCTTTTGCAGCTAGGGGTCACGTGACCACACCTATCTTAAATCAATCGACTATCACAAAGTGATGTTTAGAAATGTAAAGAGGGGATCAAAATAAGTAAGAAGACAAAGTTTCAAGTTTCAAGTCTCAACACTAAATACTTCAAAAATGACAGCAAATATAAAATCTTTTTTTTTTCTAAAGAAACATATGCAAAAACAGAACTGGAGAGCAAGGCTTGCTCTCCAGCTCTATTTTCCCATACATTTCTTTAGAAAAATCAATATTTTGCATTTGCTGTCATTTATTAAGTATTTGGAGTTGAGACTTGAGACTTTGCTATTTTACCTACATAAACCTGCTCCGTTGTAGGTAGGTGTGGTCACGTGACTCCCAGCTGCAAAAGGCCTATTAGTGCATAAACAACATCTCGTACACGAAACAGTCAAACTTTCCTTTGCAGCGTTTCAACACCATGAAGTTCTTTTCGAAGCCCTTGCATGTCCCTGGTGACAGGTCTTGTAATGGTCGCCGACACCACTGGACTTGTGCTCTCTGATCCATTGAAATAGGTGTCGGCACAACCGACACAGGCTGGGTTGGTACATTGACTTTAAGGTCACGAAGTTGTAATGGTGCAGGACCTGGAGGGGATCTTGTGCTCTGACACGTGTTGCAAACCCGAACAGTTTGTTCAATATCTTTGTCTATGCCCGGCCAATAGACGTATCGTCTTGCAAAGGACTTTGTCTTTACAATGCCAACATGCCCTTCGTGGACCAATAGACGTATCGTCTTGTAAATGACTTTGTCTTTACAATGCCAACATGCCCTTCGTGGACCAATAGACGTATCGTCTTG